AGCAATAGTAATAAGTGTGCCTTTTGGCATAGGCACACTTAATAAATTACTGCAGGAGAACTTTATGCACGATTTGTGATATCAACCCATGGTTGCAAATCTCTCTGCAGGACTCTCCCCTGAAGGCGGTGCAGATGCTGTGGGTAAATCTGATCATGGACACGTTTGCTTCTCTGGCCCTTGCTACCGAGCCCCCCACTGAGGCCCTGTTGCTACGAAAGCCTTATGGCCGGAACAACCCGCTCATTTCACTGACCATGATGAAGAACATCCTGGGCCATGGAGTGTACCAGCTGGTCATCATCTTTACCCTGCTGTTCATAGGTACAGAAATACACTTAAAAATAAACACACATACAGGCTATATACTCAGATTGAGTACTGGTTGATACACAGGCTCAGGATACTTAAGGGTATAACTTAAGGGTATCCTTCCCTTTATGCTAACCTTAACCTCTTAAGCCCCAAGCCTAACTGATCTCCTGCCTTTTGCCCCCGTATCAGGGGGGCATTGGGGCTTAAGAGGTTAATCAATTCAATTACATTTTATTTCTATATTCCCAATATACGACAGTAGTCACCTAAAAACACTTTGTATTGTAGGCTAATATGTACGACAATATTAGAAAGAAATAGCAACATCCCCTGTTAGGAAACACTTGATGGGAAGGAAAAACTGCCTTTTAATCAGAAGAAACCTCTTGAAGAACCAGGGTCAGGGTGGGGCGATCATTTACCATGGCCAGTTAAGGGTGAGGGGAAAGGGAAGAGAACAGAGAGACACAAAGGACACCTATCATGTCACCTAACAATAACTTTTTATCAAAAAGGCAAGTTTCTCATCAGAAAATTAGAGAGTGTATTTCTTCCACATCCAAACTGGATTCCACAGGAGCCTCAACTAAAGGCTCTGTCTTCCTTTGTACTTTTAAAAATTCTAGGAACTACAAGTAAGCGTGCATTCTTGGTGCTTTGATTGGATAATAATGTACTATGAGTTCTTTAAAGTATGACTTGTTAAAAAAATTTTTATGAGGAAAAGGATTTTAAATTCAATTCTGGATTTTAAAAGGAGCCACTGCATAAGCTAATACATGGTTGTTCTTTCTAGGCCCATTGTCATTCAGTTTTTTAAAGAAGTAAATTCAGGCATTTAGGGCTTTAAGACATACCTGTAGTTTTACTAGCTGATTTGTATCATCTGGTTTCATGGAGAAAGAATGAAAATTCATAATTTTTTCTAATAATATTGTCTAAGTGAAACAATATTAGTCCCAGCACAGAACCCTGTGGAACTCCATAACTTTTATGTGTGAAGAAAATTCCCCATTTACATGCTCAGTTTGGAATCTATCAAATAAATATGAACAATTTCTTTAATGCCAACAGTGTGTTATATCATTGAGGTAAAATATTGTGTTGCGCTGAGGACTAGCGAGTTCAGAAGTAGGGTTTGGCAATATGGAAGAAAACCTTAGAAAATTTTTAGAATAATATAACACACTCAACTGCACCTTTCTTTGTGACTTTATGTACTTAAAATTGTTTTTTGGCAGCATGGTAACATCCCGAATTAATTGGCCATGCTAGCCCTAACCTAAACCTGTCTATAATCTTACTACTAAGACCAAGTCTGAATGTTCTTTTATTTCTTCCTTTTTTCTGTGCTCTCCAGGCGAACGAATGTTCAACATTGACAGTGGTCGTAATGCTCCGCTTCACTCCCCGCCCTCTGAGCACTACACCATTATCTTCAACACCTTTGTCCTCATGCAGCTTTTCAACGAGATCAATGCTCGCAAAATCCATGGAGAGAGAAATGTTTTTGATGGCATTTTTTCTAACCCAATCTTCTGCTCCATTGTTTTGGGAACTTTTGCTGTGCAGGTCAGGTTAATCCTTTAACACCTTTTAGTATTTCATAGAGGAAATTTTGAGCCGCTGATGTTTTGTCCTTCTTATGGTACAGCATACTGTGTTATTCAAGTGCCAAAAACTAATTCCTCCAATGACCACTTGTGGCTGTTTCAAGAGTGAATCAAACCTCACAGACTCCAGTGTTAAAATGTCACACTTAAGTCCATGAAATTAAAGTGTTTACAGCATGCTACAAAAATAGCTTGGGTATCCAACCCAAGCTATTTTTGGCTAAGGTTCTCACCTTTATAATAACCGTATGAGGGATGAATTCTATTAAAAATGACCATTTGCATTTGGTTCTGTTAAGTTCTATTCTAAGATGCAAGACTAGCAATGGAAGCTCATAGTCTACAAAACACATGTTTTTTTTACTGGAACTTCATTACATAAATGGCATGTCACTGACATGTCATTTATTTTAACATTTCCATATCCAGAACTCTAAATTATTTTTTGTATCATAATTATTTATAGTGAGACATAAATGAATGTCTCTTCTCAACAGTTTGGTAAAGGATTACAACATAGTTTAGTTTGGGGTAAAAAGTAATGTTCCCAAAAGAAGTGAGACTGTAACTGGGTTTTATATTTTAGTCATTTATTTTGCTGTTTTGGTCACTTTTATAGATTCAGTCCATATTTGGATCAATTGACTCATGCTGAACACATTAGCAATGCAATGAGAAAGGAACTCTGTGTACACAGAAATACAGACAAGAAAACAAAGAGAGACTGAGAGGAGGGAAGAAAGAAGAAGAATATTTTCAGAACTCTACGGTGCTTGTTGTTACCCTGGGTAGAGAAAAACAAGAGAGGGGGGGCTTGAGGGGAGCAGCAGGGATTTGGGGTATAATAGTGATGAAAAAACAGATTTGTATTAAAATAAAATCAGAGAGATCTGAAGAGTGGAAGCAGCTTGAGAGAGGTGAAAGAGGAAGAAATAAGTAAGAAAGCTACAAAATGATATTATATGTGATATGATGGATCGTATTCACAGTGTGATTTCTGACTCTCTGGGTTGGTCCAAAGATGGCAGTGTCACTGATAAGCCTTGTTCCACGTGTAAATGATCAAGTGCCGTTGGTACATCCACTGAGGCATAGACCTTAGAGGACCTTAGAGGACATAAGAGTGCTGCTTTACTTTGAGCTTAAAGAAGTGGTTTGAGCAAGCCACATATATTGTTTTGGAATAATTACTCTTAAAGTTTAGTTCTATACATTATATACATCTTTTTACACAGTAATGTAAGTTGGGGCAGACTGACTGCTCTGCCTAATATGGCAGAGATTCCCTGTTCTCAGCTTACAATCAAGTCTGAGTTACCAAAGATGAATCTGCCCAGGGGTCACAGATCTCCAGGGGTCCAGAAGTTTCCACAACTCAAGTAGTGGTAAAATCCAGTTTTAAGAGCAGCATTGTATGATTATGTAATGTTGATGTTTTTATCTGTATCACAGATAATCTGGAAAAAGTAGAAGAGGTTGTACTTGTAGAAGAGTTCAGAGTTCACGCAAAGTTTTAACTCGTGTCACTTGATCTAAGTGTGCTTTTAGAAACCAACAAATATTTGCAGGGTGACACAAGAGCAGTACATCTGATGGTTGAAGATAAGTTAAAGTAATATATTTCACATATATGGAGGTCATATGATTTCACTCACTCTTCTCAAAGCCCACTCCATGTTTTCCTGTTTCTATAAAACAAACAAACAAAAAAGCTCCATCTCCCAGTAAAGGGCAACTGCAAGCCTCTTCTCCAGTTGATTGTGGGTGGCTGTAGCTCAGGTGGCAGAGCAGGTCAGCCACTAATCAGAAGGTCGGTGGTTCGATCCCAGGCTGCATCCTGGCTGCATGCCAAATATCTTAGGGCAAGATACTAACCCCGTGTTTGCCTACTGGTGGTGGTCAGAGGTGTGTCCGGCAGCCTCGCCTCTGTCAGTGCGCCCCAGGGCAGCTGTGGCTACAATGTAGCTTGCTATCGCCAGTGTGTGAATGGGTGGATGACTGAATGTAGTGTAAAGCGCTTTGGGGTCCTATGGACTAGAAAAGCGCTATACAAATGCAGGCCATTACCATTTGATTGTTTTTGGAATCAGAAGAATCCACACTCAAAGAAATCTGGGAAATACAAAAAATGACTAAAGTGTTCAGTGACTATATACTCCATTAAACTCAAATCTCATTTGTTTAAATCAGCACACTGCAGCAGGATTTGTCAATGTTCTATTTGTCAATGTTGAGTGTTTTCTCTGCAGCAATAAGACTAAAACACTTGCAGTCTTTTGTGTTGTACAAAGTCAGTGACCCTGAAATAAAGGACATTTTATCAGAGCTGGCCTGATACAGGCTTTTGGGTGCAGATGCCCTTATACATTTTAGGCCAGTATATTTGATAGGTTTGTAGCTTGAACCTATCCGCTGGAACGTTAGGACAATATAATTACACGCAAAGCAAGACACAGAGTAGGCAAAGTTCTTCATGTTTCTCGTGCACGGGAGAGAACCGGACAGCGCCGTTCCTTCGCTTGACCCCAGTTGCTCTCGTCCGTTCTCCCGTACCACTGTTCTTTTATTGAGGTTACATGAATATGCATAGGTTCATTAACATATGACGTCTACATACTACAGACAAAGAGATACCTGTGTTGTGTGTGTGTGTGTGTGTGTGTGTGTGTGTGTGTGTGTGTGTGTGTGTGTGTGTGTGTGTGTGTGTGTGTGTGTGTGTGTGTGTGGGTATTACCATAAATCAATAAGGAGAAGATAAACTCTCCTAGGGAGTGTGATCCATGCCAGGACACTCTGAGTAAAGGAATGTATGCACCCCCCTCTACACAGAGTTAATAGGATGAGACATCCTTTCTATCTACAAATGATTATACACCTCTAAGCATATATGGTTAAATATTTCTAAGCATAAATGACAATCAACAATACAAATCTAACAATATTAATGAGTTGATATTATTTATTATCAAACCTATTTGCTGATATTTGCCTATTTACTACAGCAGAGACAAATGATGAAAAAACCATAATGGATTGAAATCTTGCAGCGACAAGACCCACAAGGTCCTCCTGCTCAAGAAGGCACATGTATATAAAAAATGGTAAATGGCCAGTATTTGTATAGTGCTTTACTTAATCCCTGTGGACCCCAAAGCGCTTTGCACTATATTCAGTCATCCACCCATTCACACACTGGTGATGGCAAGCTACATTGTAGCCACAGCTGCCCTGGGGCGCAGAGGCAGGGCTGCCGGACACTGGCGCCACCAGTAGTCTTGCCCAAGGACACCACGACCGAGACTGTCGGAGCCGGGGCTCGAACTGGCAACCTTCTGATTACAAGACGAACTGCCATCTCTTGAGCCACAGTCGCCTGTGTTAAATTTGCCAGTAACCATCTAAATGATTCAGAGAAGGTTTGGAATAAAATGCTGTGGTCAAATGAAGCAATATAAATGCTTTTATGATCCAAAGAGTATCATCCCCACCCTCAAGCACAGAGGTAGAACCATTATGCTCTGGGGCTGTATTTGTGCTAAGCGTACAGGACAAATTACCTGAGCCAGAATACTGAAAATGGGCAATGGATGGGTTCTCCAGCATGACAGTAACCTAAAACACACCACTAAGCCAACAAAGGAGTGGCTAAAGAAGAACCACATAAAGGTCTATCTAGAAGTCAGACCTCAGTCCTGTAGAAAAGCTGTGGAGGGAGCTGAAGCTTTAAGCTGTCAAGTGGCAGCCAAGACAACTAAGGAATTTGGAGCGTTTCCCAGAATCATTCTTAAGATCTGTGTAAACCTGGTGATCAGCTACAAGATATGCATCACTGCTGTGCTTGCCAACTATGGTTTCTCTAACAAGGTTTACCTTTAACAAGACCAAGAAAAACCACTTCTGCAGACGAGTTCAAGTTAGACTGCAGCATACTATCGACAACCTTGAGAAAAGATTATTGTTACGGCCGGTCTAGGGGACCCGACAGCAGCAAGAGGAATGATCCACCCCCAGTTCGACCCCAAGCAGCACATCACACCATCAGTTAAAATAAGGAATGGTTTATTTACAGGAACGAAACAAAAATGGGTTTCATAGGAGTTACTCAGGCTTTGGGGTGGACCCATGCCAAAATAACAAAGAAAAGGAAACTAACTCAGAGGAGCAACTGCTTGCCTAGCCCCAGAGAAAAATAACCAAACAACAATCACTTACCTTCCTGACTAACAAAACATGAGAAAACTGTGCCCAACTTCCTCCTGGATTCACAAAGCAACACAGGGCATGACGCAGCCCCAGCCGATTGGGGTAAAACCGAGGATGGATGGATTGCCGTCTTCAACCGCGCCATCTTCTACTCCGCCTCCAGAGCAGCATCCAATCTGGGCACACCATCTTCGGGATCCACCACTCCTGGAGGCGCACCTGCACACTCACATTTACATGTCAGAACCCCAGCACACGACGGCAGTCATAACAATTATGCATCCATTGTTAAGATGAGCTGAAACTAGAATTCTAGCCATAGAGCTAGCTCTTCTGTATGTATTACTGTAGGGTCTACCTTACAATATAAAGCGCCTTTAGGTGACTGTTGTGATTTAGCGCTGTATAAATTGAATTGAATTGAATAGACACACTCTTTTGGTTGGAGAATGAAAAGTGAGATGTACAATCCAAGAACACCTTTCCTACACGGAAACACGGTGGGGGAATATTATTCAGCGGTTGGAATTGTGAATCTCATCAATGTGGAAGGAACTATGAAGAAAGAAGCATATGTAAAGATTTTGAAAGAAAGCTTTAAGTAGTCAGAAGCAAAACTGGGTCTGGGTTGTCACTTTGTCACCTTCCCCCACGACAATGTTCCAAATTATACCTCCAGAAGACCAAAGTGAATATTACTGGCTGGCCTGCACCAAGCACTGACTTGAATCACATTGAAAATTCGTGGACCAAGGTCCATGCCAGAAGATCATAAAATCTGGAGGAGCTTGAGAGATTCACCAAAGAAGAATCCGCGTGGATTGCTCAGGAGACATGAGTGAGACAACAAATGACTGCGGGCTGTTATCGAGCAAAAAGGATAGGCAAATGATTGCTTTTTGTGGAAAAAAAAGTATTTCTGTCTTCAAAGTAAAATAATATAAGCATCCACATAAAACTAGGATATTTGGCTGTGTTGAAATTCTCTTGTTCCATTTAACAACACCTGAGAGTTACTTTAATAACAGACATTTTCTGGGTGGGAGGTTAGTAATTCTGACCTCATATGTATGTGTACATACCTCTGCCACATTAATCACAACCTGAAAGTAATATCATCCTTTATTTAATATAATCATTTGTGGTTTTTACTTATCAGTGTTAGCACTAACATATTGAAAAGCCTGATGTTCAGACATTGTCCTCTGAGTAGAAAAAACAACAACAACATTCACATTCACACACACACCAATGGCTGATTCCGTACGAACCTCTTGTTTTAGTACTTTGCCTAATGATACTTCAGCATATAGATTTGTGGAGCCAAGGATCAATTACAAACTTTCTTTGTTTGCTGACCCATTCTAAGCCACAACCACTCAAATAGGCTCTGGTATTCAACGGTAATCACCCATCTATGTACTAACCAAGCTCGACCCTAATTAGTTTGCAAGATTAGATGAAATTGGGCATGATGAAATAGGGCTCAGTGTTAAGCCCTTTTTGTTGGGATTGTAAGTTTTGGTGGCATGAGAACTTTGCCCCTATGATGGGACTTGTGTCATATGCTAAGAAGTGTGAAAGTTAGTGATGGATAGAGCAGAGCTACATGGTGTAGCACGGCTTTCTGCTTTGTTTGTGTATATGTGTAATGAGTTCTTTTCCTGTGTTTCTGCTGCAGATCGTGATTGTGCAGTTTGGAGGGAAACCCTTCAGCTGTGCTCCTCTCAACATCGAGCAGTGGCTTTGGTGTCTGTTTGTGGGAGTTGGAGAGCTGCTCTGGGGGCAGGTAAGTAGCTCTTTAGCCTGCTGAATCAAACAACACTAAGCAAGTGTAGGCTGGCAGACCTGGTTTTTTCCAAGGTGAGGCTAAGGAAATATATTCACACTGCCTGAGAGAACACTTCAGAGCTATTTTGTGCTAAAACTGACAGTTAAATAATAAACCACTGCATGTGAACTAAGGTTGGAAAAGCACACACGCTGCTCATTATTTTGTCACTCTGGTTTGTTCTGGTCAAGTAACATTGTTACAAATCTGGCTTCCAGGTGATTGCTACAGTTCCTGCAGAGCGACTGCCGTGTTTGAAGGAGGCGGGGTTGGGACTAGAACCAGGGGAGGAGGAAGGGGAGGAGCTGGCAGAGGATGAGGAGGAGATCGACTGTGCAGAAAGAGAGCTGCGCCGTGGACAGATCCTCTGGTTCAGAGGCCTCAACCGTATCCAGACCCAGGTACTGTTTAACCAGGCCCTAACCAAAAGTCTCACCAACAGATTTCTAGACATGTCAGCCAGAAGCTTCACTTGGTCATGACCACAAGCAGTTTGTTTAAGGTTAATTACAGATAGATTGGGGAATCTTTAAAAGATGTGGTATGTAATCACAAAGAGCTGCACTTCTTTAATCATGTGCAGCATGATAAAATCCACATTACTATGGGAGTGTTCTTACTGCCTAAATAAACTGTTAGTATCATGGCCGTCACACGCTAACTAAAGAGACTTTTGGAAAGAAAGAAGTGCTGCATATTTGACTCTTCTTTGAGAGTTACAATTTTAGATTTGTTCTTACTCTTCAAAAGTCAGTCTCTCTCATCCATGCTGTTGTGCTCTTCTGAATTGTGCCAAACATAATGATTCAGGTTTTTGTTTTTCTCTCTCTCCCCAACGCAGCTAACCTGTTTGTTCCACAAAGTCACAATCACACAATGGCCTTCTCTACCTTGAGAGTGCTATTTTAGATGCTCAGAAACATAACAGGAGATAAATGGTGTGAGTGTATATGTGTGTGTATATGTTTGTGCGTGCAGGAGTGAGTATTTACATGTTGTACGCAAGCTTATGCAACTAGACAGGCCACTGATTCGCTTGATTGCTTTGATTGATTCTTGCAGAACTTTGTGTGAGAGCGGACTTTAAGACAGGGAAACGACAGCAGTCTCCTCCTAAGGAGTGTCAGAGAGCCAGCCCAGACTCTTTGCTTAAGTGCCTGTCTTTGCATAAAGTGGCCAGTTTTTCATTAAGAGGGTTTGGTCTGAGTGCGTAGTGTGTAGATGCACAGATTTTGTTAGTAATATTCATGAATCAGTTATGATACACTGAAATCAGAGAATTTTTTACTCTGTCTGTGACAGGAGAATCTTTTAAAAGGACCAAAGACACACGCACACACTCAGACTGGACTTTCCTGCTCTTACTGAATGATGCTGTTTGTATCTCTGTCCTGCAGATGGAGGTAGTGAGCACGTTCAAGCGAAGCGGTTCGTTTCAGGGAGCGGTGAGACGGCGCTCCTCTGTGCTCAGTCAGCTCCACGACGTAAACACTATCTCTACCCCCTCTCACGTAGCTCTCTCCACTGCAACAGCCAATACCAGCCCAGCCCCTGGGAGTGAGTCCGCCGAACGCATGTACACACATACAGAAGCATTCGTGCATACATGCACACACTCACACACTCATTCAGAGACACAGAAACACACACTCGCACCCACGCAACCACCCACACACTGCCACACAGCTGCACGGCACGTGGACTGCAGTATTTTGACTCTCTATGGTTGTGTCCCTCCGGCTCGCTCGCTACTCGTGTTGTGTGCAATGTGTCCTCTGTTCTTTGCTCTTATTCTCCCTTTCAAACAGCACCCAATCCTGCCACGGCTGTGTAGTTCTGGTATTGTCTGGTCTGGTCCCAACCCACTCCTGGTCCCAGGCCAGAGACTGTTTTTGTTGTTTGTCAGTGCAGGAGGGAGCTAACTGTTCTCTCTCTGTCTGATGTGCCCTGATGCAAAAGATGCAACACTTTTATAAGTGACTCAGATTTTAAAAAAACAAGGAGTTTGTTATGCATAATTCTCAGAAGCTACGGATGCATCCTGAAGTTTAGAGAGCAGATAACAGCTCCTCCTGCACAATGTGTTATTTCTTGTCCGTGACTGAGGTCAAGCGTAGTTACTGTGGTTTGCCTCTGTTGTAAAAATCTCTATTGTAAAGGTGTCTTTCTATTCTCTGAACAACAACACAATGTAGTACTTCTCTAATACATTCTTGAGTCTCTACATACTTTGGAAAATGCTACAAATATTTTTCACTGCCATAGAATTCATTATCATTAACAAAAGGCTTCCATGTGGCTTCAGCAATACTGTAAACCTTCGAGTATAAAAGCCCTATAACACACTGCTCTTTTTAAGAATGTAGTTTTATAAAGAAACGATTCCTTTTGCCTCTACCTTTCTAGCTTTCCTTCTTCCTCTTCTCTCACTTTTGTTCGGTGCTGAAATTGTTGTCAACTGGTTATTTCTGTAACAGTATTTCCAGCTCCAACGTCACAAGTTTGGCCCCCTGACGTCTCCAAAAAGTCCTGATTTCTCTCTCTGTCCACTTTGTTTTTCCTCACCCCTTTCTCTCTCTCTCTCTCAATGGCAGTTTTCTCTTTCTTGTCTTTCTTCCTTATTTATGAGATATTACAGGTTCCCTGTTTGCAGAAATATTATGTGAAATGTTTTCTAATTGTTCTTCATAAGTAGAGTTGTTCTTTTGTAGTGGTATTTAGATTTTATCAGATCTAAATACAGGCTCTTGTGTAGCATACTGATAAGATTTCTTTAGTAGGTTTCTCTTCATTTAATTTTTTTTTCTCAGTTTTCTTGGACCTTACTTTGTCCTTTACCTCATCCCTTTTTGTCATCCTCCATTTTCTTAGTAGAATAGCAATCATCTTTTCTCTTGATTTCTTTGTATGTCAGTTCTGCACGTCTGTGTGAAAGCCTGTTTGAACACGTGTTCTTTGCTGACATATCCGAGAGCTGCAGTTTGACTTGTGTGTATTCTCTGTTGGCGTGTGAGTGTGTGCACCTGTGCTCGTATACCTGTCTGCGTGACTGCGTGCATGCATGTGTGTGTTTGTGCTGTCTCTTCATTTGATTGTCATCAACCGTCTTCTCAGTTGCTTCTCTTTACCTTTCTTGCTCCCTTCCGTCCATCCTTCCCTTCCTCCATTTCATGCTGACCTCCTCTCCACCATTCTCATCACATGTAGGTGTAAATACAGAGAGGCCCAAGGCGGCACTGTTGACACCTCATTGTCACAATCACCCTGTGCAGACAGTAGGAGGAACCTGGCCTTTGTTTAAGTACTTTGGAAACATATCCTTCACTCCAACACTTTATAATATAGCATGTTAAAAAAATCAACACTGAAAGTAGAACATTGGTTTGGTGTAAAGTTGGTTGTAGAGGAGTGGAAGGAGGGATGTACAGTCCAAGTATGAAGCAAGTTTTTAGGTCTGCTAGCTCATTTGCTTGCTTTTTCTAGTCTTCTACCTTAATTCGAAGAGCTTGTTATGTCCAAATCTGTTACTCAACAGCAGCGTGACACATACTTTTTACATTTTGCAGCCATCCTGTAGTGGCTGAGCCCCTGATGGGAAACAAAATGGATTTGGACAAAAAAATGGAACAGGGAGAGAATGTGAAGGACCAAGCATTAACTTTGAGTCTGATGTGACCCAGGTTGTGTTCTCTGAATCACTTTGTGCTGTCTGGAGGCATCCAGTGGTCAAATAAAATCTCCCATTGTTCTCAACCCCAGCTTGGTTTATGCCAGAAAATATAAATCCGAATGTGTCACAAGCCTAAGATATATATAT